CATGTTTTACTAATAGAGTCCATGTTTTACTAATAGAGTCCATGTTTTACTAATCGAGTCCATGTTTACTAATACAGTCCATGGTTTACTAATAGAGTCCATGTTTTACTAATCGAGTCCATGTTTTACTAATCGAGTCCATGTTTTACTAATAGAGTCCATGTTTTACTAATCGGGTCCAGTCCATGTTTTACTAATGAGTCCAGTCCATGTTTTACTACATGCCCGTATAAAATCTGAATGCGGCAGTCATTTGTGAGTGTGGAGAATGTTACTGTGTGTTGACAAAATGTAAAGACGATATTCGCGGGCATCTTTCAAGCTGCCACTTGTCTTGGGAAAATATCGAAGAGTATGAATTAATCTTAGCCAGGGCTGGATTGTTTGATATTCCGGAGTCAACTGGAGAAGATGGGGGTTTGCCCTCGTCTAGCCTGCGTGCAGGCCCAAGGGAACTGATAGTGGGCCTGCACCATCGCCCGGTATTTTGTAAAACGCCCCTTTTCATAACACGCCCCATTCGCGCGTCAATTGTCAAAAAAGAACCAATGACAGCACCAAATATTAACAAACAAACTCGCATTAAAATGTTGCGGGGTTTTCTCTGCTTATTCAGAACACTAATAAACAATGTGTAAATGGCTGCGTTTTAACTCCAAAAAAGCAAGCAACGCAGTCAGTAATTGCCAAATTTGCAAGTGCTCATTTTCAACTAAAATCGGAACAGACAAATTAGGACGAATTTCAACAGAAAACCAGTCTCAAACTTCAAATCATGAGGGAAGTCGTGCGACCACATTAGGATTTATATTATGTGTGCTTCGCTGTCGCCATTGGCATTGTTATAAATAAATTGTCTCACTTATCAGATCGTGTTTGCAATTCTTGTTGGCGGCGGAAAGTACGAAATTTATTTCAGTTATTTCATTTGGTAAAGAACTCTACAAAAGAAGAGAGCGTTCCGAGTCCAGATCGTTTCGTTTCAAACGGCAATTTAATACCGCCTTCTGTTTCGCTCTCTCAGCGAAGCCTTGTAAATCGCAAAGTGTTTCGAATAGGCTTACAGTCCTTACATGCAACTGCATCTCAACATCAACCAAAAGATAATTTTATTGAGGAAGTGAGAACACATAACGTATCAACTGAAGTCTGTTTGAAATTAATGAAATTCAAGTAAAGGTTACTATAGTTTACCCCAGTCGTAATTTGCTATTCCAACACCTCACGACAAGCAATCCCCATTGGCATAACGGCAAAAACATGTCTTCCTTCAAGTAAACAATAAACAGTCTGTTCTTGTTCCATTTGTAATCGAAAAAAGTGATCAATTTTCAAATTTTAAACTTATCGAGAGCCTTTGTCTATGCCTTTGTGATGAATCACTGTTCCCTTGGGCCTGCACGCGGGCTAGGTTAATTATTTACCGATCGCCTCAGCTAGCCAATGGGAATTTAGCCGGCGGTTCGGCCGGCGAAGATCGAAAACATGGGGTGATAGTTGCAGGCTGTCCCTCACCCTCAGATAGCCTGTACGCAGGTTAGCGATATCGTAACTCGCGGGCATTTATTAGAGAGGGATTGCGAAGTTCGAAGGTTTATATTGAAAGTTCACAAGCCGGTTTGCAAAGAAGCTCTCAGTATATTTACTGAGCTGTTCGCAGCATAGTACAACAAAATATTGTACTAAACCAAAGACAAAGATTGTATTGTGCTTATATATCAGTTCAATTTTTAATTAAACTGTCCGCCAATATTACAAATATACAACATTATAAATTGTTAAAACTTCTTCTTACAGAATGTGCCTTGATGTTTCCTTATATAAATATTTTCAATCTCGAACATGCGCTGACCAATGTGATGGAAACCATGCCAAGATATCAATGTTTCGCGGAAGAAGGTTAATCCGACCATATTAACTGCCCTGGGCTGCCTGCATCAGTTGAATTGTTCCTAATTATTCACTCTTTTGTGTCACTTTCATGGTTCTTTTGTCTTTCATTTTTTTCCTTCCTGAGGTGTACTGCCCAACATAAATCCTCATTGCGAATCTACAAGAAGACAACTGTGGTTACTGCGTGGAGTAAAACTTAACTTTTCTGAGGCCACACTTTTTTATCTGTTTCTTTGTCTAATTATGGAACATGAAAATAAAAAATAAAGGTTGGTAGGTCGGGAAAAGCTGTCGGACTATGGCAAAACCAAATTGAAACGATTTCTGTCAGGTGTATGCAGCATGTTCATTTTTTCCCCTTTCTAGATTTTTACGATGGGTCCCAAATTAATACATATGTAGTAGTAAACACTTTGTATAGCCTGACGTACGTAAGTGTCTGAATATCCTTGCGCCACCATATTTGTGGGATAAGTTTGTCAAGAGGTCATAACCAGGAAGATAGCGTGAGTGCGCGGAAGTATTAGCGTGATTTAAAGGATTAACAGTAACACGGTGCTATATGTCAGGCGAGTTCCGATTTTCTGGCGAGTACTGAATTTCTCCCCATATGGCTGACATTGTATTTAATAATTACAAAAGTCTTTACTCAAATACAGCATTATATGAAGACGGTCTTTTAATAATGGAAGCAGCCTTCATAACCCTCCCCCCCCCCCCTGAAACCAGAACTGAACTCTGGACTCAAATTATTTGCCAACCGAACGTGTCACTTGTATACGACCTGCTACGTCATTGCAAAATATGCTAAGCCATTTCACTTGAACTATATGAATCAGCGCCTCTGAATCAGCGCAATAATAGACGAATTAACACACAATCAAGTGAATCGTTTCAATTTTAAACGAATCATTTCTGGTCTTGTCCAGTTACATCATTACGTTAGGTTCAAGCACTTCTAAACATGATGCGTCGTTCGTGTTTGTAAGGAATGATTTCTGTTTATGTCCTTTCATTTCACACGTGTAGTATTTTTGGTGGTAACGGCTGCCAATACTCAAAGCCAGTAAAGAACTCACACTATTTGACTTGATATAGCAGCTTCTTGTTAATCACACCGAACACTGTTCATCACACTAACACTTCCGCACCCACACTTTCCTCGTGATTATAACGTAATCACGCTTGTGTATGTAGACCTAGGTTACTTTTCTAAATTAATCTGATGATGAATTTGCAAAATAAATTCGAAATATCACTGTTGAATATTGTGTCCTCCTGCTCTACTTCAATATTTTGCCGG